ACACACACACACGCACACATACGCTCGTTTTCTTTTTTATCCTACGGCCTTGTAAACGAACCAAAAAGAAAAAAAAAGAAGAGCAGAAAAAAACAACAACAACGGCAGGGGTTTGGAGGCTCGTATTGGCTCGCGGAAGAAAATGTCTGCCACCAGAGGGAGCGTGAATACTTGGGTTTGAAGCACGGGGCCTGCTGTGGTGTATTCTTCACTGCTTGCCTTCCATACTCTTTTCAACGGCGTCGGTGACGGTTCTCTGTTTTTGTTTGTTGCTGCTGTTTTTTTTTTTTTGCCTTGTGTAGTTTCTTTGGCTTGGGCGCATGTTTCTAATTTCTTGTTTTGGGATGTCTTTCGTCCCCGCTTCCCCTGTTTTTTTTTCCCCTCCTTTTTCTGCAGTTGTCTTGTGGGAGGGCAGCCCACCACGTGGCATGTTTCTCCGCACCCTGCGGCGCCCGCACTCACTCCATAGTCGACGGCGGTGGGAGCAGCGCATCGCCTCGGTGCTCTCAGAGCACGAGGAGGCCGCGGTGGACGACGTGGCGCGGCGCTTTGCCCGCATCTACAAGGAGCGTCGGTACACTCCCGTGGAGGAGGCCTTCCCGCTGCGCGACACGGCGCGGTGGGTGGGACTGCCGGAGGCATCGGGTGCGTCGTCGAAGGCAACCCGCGCCGTTGCGCAGCCGCCCAACCCGCACACTCTCAAGCTCGCCCTCCTGGGGCCGCAGAACTCCGGTAAGACCTCGTTGCTTAATGCGCTTTCCCTCAGCCACATTGGCGCCGTGAGCAATCGCAGCGGCAGCACGAAGGACTGGCTAAAAGGCGTTGCAACGGTGCACAACACCCAGCTGGTGATGCTTGACACACCCGGCATTGTCATGGTCAACGGCGAGAAGGACCGTCGCCGGCACGCTGCACCCTCGGCGCGCGCTTGGGATGCCTTGATGGTGACCGAGCTCGTTGTCCTCACTTTACCCGCCGGCCTTGGCTTCGTGGAGCCTGAGCAGAAGGCGGTCGCCCGCGAGGTCGTGCACCGTGCCTCACTGCGTAAGCTGCCCGTTGTGCTGGTGATTACCATGATGGACAAGGTTCAGACTCTCAAGCACCGTGAGTTGTACTTTTCGATGCGCACCGACTTTGAATCCATGTGTTTGCCGATCGCGGCGACTCATGAAACGAGTGTGAAGGGAGGTAGTGGCCTGCTAGAGCTTAAAGACTTCCTCTGCAGGTACGCCACGCCAGGGGAGTGGGAGCACTTTCGCAATGAGGCCACCGACATCAACCCGGTCGACCGGCTCTCAGAATTGCTGCGGCAGTGCTTCTTTGAGGTGCTGCCGCACGAGATCCCACACCAAATGCGCCACCGCATCATAGGATGGACCAAGAAGGACTCGGGTACCACGGAGGTCATCACTGAGGTTTTCTTTGATCGTCCGGCCTACATGTTTACCTTCTACTCCAAGCTGGAGGCCATCTGCTATCGGGCGCAGCGTGTTGTGGAACGCGAGTTAAAAGGACGATATCGATTTGTGTTTCAAGCCTTCATTGCACCGGGCGGAGTCTCCTCCAGATGAGGGCCGTGACGAAAAGCGAAGGCGATAGAAAGAGAGAAGGTCGGCGGCTGAAAGTTTATTCGCTCACGTCTTATCTACGTCGGATGCAAGGAAGGAATGCGGAACGCAGGGAGTTTCTTTCTTCCTGTACTTTTTTTTTGGTTTGTTTTGGCTGCTCCTTTCCTTGCGGTCGATTCCTTTTTAAAAATCCTTTTAAATGTGTGTATCTG